TTTCTCGTACTGGACACCAAATTCAATGGTTCTAGGAGTTGCAGCAGTTCGGTTTTCAGGCAGGAGAGTCTAGAGCAGATCTAGGCTTCCATCCTAGATGTAGCTGATTTGGGGTGACCCCGGTGGTGCTATGTACATCGTTGTTGTATAGACTGGTGATGAGAGGTAACTTCTCATCCCAGTCATCCTGGCTTTGATGTAATTAATGCCTCAGCAGATGCTGCACCATACGGTTCATCTTTTCAGCCTGCCCATTTGCTTCGTGATGATTCCCAGAAGTCATCTGAAGCTGGCTGTCCATCTGTTCAGTGGCCTTCTTCCACATCTTGTTGGTGAATCACACATCTCTATCATTAACGATTGTCTTTGGTAGCTTGAAATCACGCACCTAGTTATCCATGAATAACTTACTGACGTGTTCGGTCCTGGCGGTCTCTAGCATTACAACTTGTCTAGCGAACTTAGTAAACCTATCAACTATGAGGAAGATGTGCCGCTTGCTGGTCACGCGAGTATCCATGAAGTCCATGGAGATGCTCTGCCCTGGGCCAGCAGGAATGGGTAGAGGCTTGAGTAACCCAAGTGGAGCTCGAGTCCGCGGCTTGTCCCGCTGACAGACCTGACAAGTCTGTACGTACTTCTTTGCATCGTCTAGCATGTCTGGCCACCAAAATCGTTGTACTAAATTAGCACCAGTCTTCTTGTAGCCGAAATGTCCCGTTGCGTTGTGACACTCACCTAAAAATAAACTACGCAAAATCTCCCTAGATGGAACAACTAACCTTTTAAACCCTGCCTTTTCAAGAAAGAGTAACCCATCCACCATCACAAACTCGTCAGAGGTGGCCTTGTCTTTGGCCTGCAGTTTGTTGATGATGTCCATCGTGATGGGATCTTCCTTGTAGGCTTCCCCCAAAGATCGAGTAACGTCCTCAGACAAGCCAAACTTAGATATCCGCGCACCTAGGTAATCTGCCCTATGAGACAACGCATCCACAACCTTGTTGTACGCTCCCTTCACGTAGTCTAGTTTGAAGTCGTATTGATCTATGACTTAAATCCAGCATTTGGGTGCATCGGAGAGAACAGGTTGGGTCTTGATCCACTTGAGGGAGTGATGTTCAGTTCTCAAGTAGAAGAACCTTCCTAACAGATAGTGCCTCCAGTGGGCAAGTGCCTTGTAGAGAGCATAGAGTTCCCTTTCGTAGGTGGACTTCGCCAACTTCTTTGATGGCATCTTTTTGCTCGCACACACGGTCTCAACTTTTTCCCTTCTTGCTAAGCCAGCACTGTGCCAATGCAATATTGGCTTGCGTCAGTGGTTACAACGAATGGCCTCTGTTGGTCAGGTACATGAGAACCTCATGGTGTGTGAGAGCATGCTTCAATCACTGGAATGTTGCCTCACACTCGTTGGCCCAGTCCTCTTCTTCTATATTCTTAAGAGGACTATGTTGCCCGGGTCGTTCCTACGCTGGGTACTCATGCTCAAGGACAAGACGTGTGTGCGACATTTTCTCCATCCGGCAACGATGACTTATCGTCTTCAAGTGGTTCTTCACGGGATTTAGCGCGCGAGTTCAACATACATGTCTTGGATCCGCTCACGTCGGAGGATTTCACATTGCTTTCGTTCCCGACCACTGGCCGCTTGCCGGGACCGCAATGCACAACACTATGCGCCCATCTTCACACGTATCTATCCTGCACCACCAACTTCGCCGACGGATGACGAAGTTGCGGTGGGGAAAATCCTTGTGTACGTTACCAAGGTGGCCTGCGAGTTTCGCAAGCAGCGGTACGATGACAACAACGCACCGCTCCTCTATGTCCCCATCCAAGTTGGGCTAGCGTCCTGCAGCACTTTGTTGGATAGCGGCGCGACTTGCAATTTCATAAGCCAAGCCTTTATGCGAAGGGTTGGCCTTGGCGCACAAGTTCAGAGGAAGGCAAACCCAACAACGATCAAGTTGGCGGACGGAAGGACGCAACAACTTATCGACCGTTACATCGAGGCCGTACTGGTGTATTTCGCACCTCATGCAAGCGAACCGGTGATGTTCGACATTTTGGACACGAACTTCGACATTATTTTGGGAATGCCTTGGCTCGCAAGTGTGGATCAAAGGGACAACTTCGACCGGCGGACTCTTACCATTGGAGACGCCTTCTATTCCTCTTTTGCACCCTTCGATCCGGTGCCAAGTGGTGACGGCCAAGTCATTCCCGGCTACTTGTGCTTACTAGCAGCCCGACGAAATCGTCCTATGATTCCTACAGACAGTCGCGGTAGTCGACTCTTCACCCACGGACTTGTCTTCGGACCCCCGTGTGGTGCGGTTGCTTAACGAGTTCGCCGACATCTTCAAGTCATCTATCGGTGTGGTGCCGGATCGGCCGATCTCTCACGAGATCATTCTTGAGGCCAGTGTCGTGCCACCGAAAGGTTGTATTTATTGCATGAACGAGGAGGACCTTAGAGTCCTCCGTGCACAACTCGATGACTTGTTGGATAAGGGCTGGATCCGTCCTAGTAGCAGCCCATATGGAGCACCAGTTCTCTTCGTAAGGAAGAAGAACAAGGATCTACGATTATCCATCGATTATCGTAAACTCAACGTGCAAACCGTCAAGAATGTGGGGCCTCTTCCTCGTATTGACGATCTGCTTAAGCGACTGGGCTGCGCGAAGTATTTTTCCAAGTTGGACTTGAAGTCGGGCTATCATCAGATTTCGATACGCCCAAACGATCGCTATAAAACCACGTTCAAGACGCGGTACGGGTATTTTGACTGGGTGGTCATGCCTTTTGGCCTCACCAACGCCCCGACGACCTTCCAAGCTGCAATAACCAACGAGTTTCGTGCGATGTTGGACCGGTTCGCATTGGTCTACCTAGACGATATCCTCGTCTATAGCCGAACATTGGAGGATTATCTTAAGCACCTTCCTTGTGTTGGAGACGCTCCGCTACGCCAAGTACAAAGCCAACCGCAACAAGTGCGAATTTGTCCAGCAAAAGCTGGAAATACTTGGGCCATTTTGTGACACCGGAGGGCATCAGTCCGTTGTCGGATAAGAGTTGAAACTCAAAATACAACGTAGTCTGAGGTTTAATATCGCAGTAGAACCACATTGTAGCTGCACACACCGAGCAACACACCTTCTCCTCATTGCTCAGTCTGTACGGAGCAAGGCTCCACTCCATAAAATTTATACTACTAACTATCTATCTAGTCCATTTATTCCTTCAAAAGGTTGCCCTACTTGCAGACATTTTCTCACGAACTCCGCTGTTAAGCGGCTAACAAACGACAAAAGAGCTCGCGTCACTGCATCCAAAACAAAAAACAAACCAAACACCAACGAAAAAAATACGTCTGGCTTCGTGCAGAGATACCAAAAGGGCATCTGTCGCGCGAGGCCAGCCAAAAGTGACCAAGCCCGAAAAAGGGCCTACATGCATTATAAAAAGATTGAAGTAGGCCTAGGACTGAGCTATCGAGCTTAGATATCAGTCCGGAGCGAGGCGAAAGACCACGACAGTGTGGTACTCAGCAGGTTGTCGTATACAAGATTTGAGTCAGTATTCTAGATCAATCAAATCGTCACATCTGGACCGTGATCAAAACTGGATCCGCCGAGATCGTTGTGCATGCTTCAGTTCATCTGGCTCGTCGCGTCTATCGTGTACTCCCTCTGTTTTGTTGCAGCCTGCGGGATTCAGGCCACCGGACTAGATGTGTATGTGCCTCACTTGTCATGCCCTTCTTACTGCTCTTAGCAATCTGCGAGAAGCTTGCTCAGTTCGGGCCCGAGGGTTCTCTCCTGCCATGCCCTTCCCACTGCTCATAGCAGTCTGCGAGGAGCTTGCTCAGTTCGGGCCAGACCCGCCCTCCCACCCTGTTGGCCATCCTTGTCACTGCTTTTCAAATGAGGGGTGTTGGAAAATCCGCTCCTCTCAATTCTCTATATAGCGGAGTTAGTATAAATGGAAGGATAGCATCGTTGTTGGTATTATTTCGAATTTGATGCAGGGTACCCGTGATGGTGGCGAATTTCTGTTCAATGGGGGCAAAGGATCTAAAGTTTCGGGTGATCATATACCTTGGTTGCTTAGGGTTGACCCAAATGCTCTCCGCATTATTAAACTTGTGCATCACAAAGATCTCGGTTGGTTCGTTTCGAATCAGGACTTTTGTCTCGAGGAATTCCAAAATATTTAAATCGAGATCAGTTATTTCTAGTTTTAAATCTTTATGGTAGCAATTTTTTATTCCATTCAGTAGTTTTCTGCTTTGCTTTTTTCAGCTGGTTTGAAGAGTCCGAGCAAGAGCAGGTCGTCAACATACTTCTTCCCGTGAATAAATCTATCATCCTTGCCGAGGCTTTTAAGAAATTTATTCTCAGAAAACATGCAGACCAGATTCGCCAAAGGTGGTGAAGCTTGTCCCCCATTGGTACTCCTTTGTTTTGCTTTAGTACAGTGCAAACAGATTTGAAAACAACGTTCTTCAAGATAAAATTCACCAGTTTATCAATGTCGTTCAGACTGATTGATTTCCATCCTTTTTCTAGGTCGATTTGTAGAATGTGGCACCCTTACCTCTCGTCTTGTATCTCATCCAGTGTTTCCCTTTGTTCTTTTATTCTCCAATGATCCAATGTATCGCATCTGAAACTTCTTCGTGCGGGATTTGTAAAAACATTTCTTTTATGTCAAATGTTTGTGCAATCACTTGCAATTCATCTCGTTCAATTCTTCTATTGATGTTGTTTAAATCCTCTAGCAGTTCTTTTCCAGAGGAAAGGTTAAAGTTCTTTCCTTCGAAATTTCGGATCAAAAAATTCAGACATTGTACAACGATCCATCCCGCAAATCTCAGAGGGCTAGCAAAAGAGGGACAAATTGGTCTCTTCTTCTCGATGTCTTTGTCTTTGCTCATGATGAATGCGTTCTGGATGAATCCTTTGTTATCCCACTTTGCAATCTTGTGCAGTTTCTCTTTCTTGTATTCATTCTTCATTTCTGTCAGGATCGTATGATCCATTATGTCGATGTGTTCGAAATCGGGAATATCATTAAAGGTATGTACTATACCATTGTAGTACAAAACTGGGCATTCTATCAGTGTTGCTCCTAGATTCCGATCCAGGGGCGACATGACGAGCCCTTCAAAGGCTTTCTTCATGCCAAGAACGTATTCAGTGAGAATGGTACCAGCTCGTATAGATGCTCCAGTTCAACCCAATCTTGGTGGGTGATATCCTGAATTCTTCATTAACCTCGATCTTTCTCAGCATCGATAGAGAGTGTCTGCAAGAGCTGTTGATTACATCAATACTAGCTAACCTGCCAGGATATGGAATATTCTTCGAATTGTACAAGAAGGCGGAAACTTCCGGAATTTCGTTCAACCAGACCTGGACATGCCCGTTGACTTTGGGCAAGTCGAACTCGTCACAACAACATTCAGGTTGTGGGTCTGATGTTGCATGATAGTGATTATGAAGAATGCATGCGATAGATTTGGCTTTGGTCCAAACCGTTCGCAGCTTCAATTGCATCAGGCAGGAGAGTTCCGGAGGTTTAACTCGCAGCTTGATCAAGTCACATACTTCGACACGCACACACTTTTTTGTCGATGGTATGACAAAATGGAATTTTTACAACAATTCTTTCCGTGGGGTTAAATCCGAGTCTCTTTTTCAACTCATTAGTGACCAGACTACGAATAATTTGTCGCCCTCTTTGCACGTTTATTGTYTTACAACCTTTTAGCATAAAGATCAGATCAACAACATCTTTGGATCCAAGTGCCTTTCGCCTGGTCGAAGGGGCCTGTAATAATGAGATGATTTCAAATTTCCTTCCTTCTGCTTTGGATTCAGCTCTTACTAGGCAAGTAACTTCCCACGTTCCACCCCATTCAAATGATAATTTCAACTCCCTTAGAAGGGCGTGGCGTACAGTTTCGTCCCTTAGTTTTGAGTCGCCGTATACGAGCTTAATCAGACGTCACGAACACAACCATTTCAAACCACCGTTAGTTGCAATCATGGATGGTCTCTTCTTCTTCTTTAATTTATTCAGCAAACTCATGAGATTGGTTGTACCTTCTTTCTCATCATCGACATGAAAGACTATAGGCTCAAATCCCATTGCCACACGTGGGCTGACGTTGTTATTTTTTTTAGCTTTCCTTGGTCTTTTCTTCAGTTTGTTCTTACGCATGTTCAAACCAGGATTCTCATCATCGCTGAGTTTGCTCTCCAGTCGTCTTAACTCGCTTTTATTCTCAAACATAGTGGATATACGTCGAGGGGTTTCTTTTGTGCAACCATTTGTGCACTTTAAAAACTGGGTTAACCAAAGAACACCGCTCGTGTTCACGTCACATATCCTTAAGTTCCCTGCCAGTCTCTTGAATATACGTTAGTTTGTAGAGTGGGGAAATTAGCAGATAGACACAAGAGTTAGCACTATCATTTAACAACTCACTAGGATGGAGATTCCTCCAATACTTGACATGTGTACATCCCCAGCTAATGAACCCAAGCGTGCATGCGAGAATAGTGCCTATTTTGAACGTGTCATCTAGATCGTGTCTCAGTTCCCCTTGGGCGTCGATCTTTGCGAGGCTCAATCTCCTCAGTAGCCTCATCAGGCTACGCTTGGTGACATTCAATTCCTCGTCATGTCGTCGACTTCCTTGTCCAAATCGTTATTTCCATCTTCATCTTCATCATCCTTTCCTGGATCCAATTGGAGGGTGTCGTCGCCATTCATGAGCTTCGTGAACTCGTCCGTGTCTTGTTTCGCCAGTTTCCAGGCGCTCTTGTCGTTTCTTTCCCACTTCACGTTCCTTTTCAGACATAGGCTCTTCACCTTCTTCCCAGTTATCTCCATATAGTGGTCCAGCCTCTGCCTCATGTATTCGACAATCCCGACTTCCTTGCCCACGTTGCATGTGGCATTCCTATTCACCTTCAATTTCTCTTCTTTGTCGTTGTTCGATTCTTCTTCATCCTTGTGTGTTTCATTGGTCAAGATCGCGCTCTCCTTCTCCGAATGCTCCTTGGATTCCTCGCTACAATTCCTTTGCTCTTCTCTACCTTGCTCGCAATATGAGCGAGCAGTGCCATGATGTCCTCCAGTTTCACACCATCATCATCCCCAGCCGCACCTCTGAGTACTATTGTTTCCCCTTGAATCATGGCGTTTTGCGCCTTCTTGTCTTCTTCTTCATCATCGGATGACATTGGAATCCGTGGTTGCCTGATCTTCACACCTCCACTCCTTGATCGTGATTTCGGCTTCTGGAGTTCGGCAACAGGTGAGTTCGCTCCCATCACTCTTTTCCTTTTCTCACTACTACTCCCTTCCCCTTTCTTAGCTCCGCATTCGAGTTCCGCAATCTTCTTCACAAGCTTCTCTCTCTGCGCGTCCGCGTCCTTGGTCTTCTTATCGACGACTTCCAATTTCTCAGCGATCCTCTTCAATGATACGCCGAAATTACTCGCCATCCAAGCCTTGAGGTTCTGCTCGCAATCTCTGGAGCTAGAACTTGATTTCCCTTTGGACTTCTTAACTGCGCCGCTCCTCCTGCTCTCTCCAGTGTCTTCAGTCTTCTTCTTCGCGGATTCTTCGAGATCTCTTGTCTTCCATTTTTCAATCAACTCGAGGTGTTCCCTTGTAAACCACAGCCGGTTCCTTGGTCCAGTAAGGCGTTAGCAGAAGGTGGTCGGTTCAGTTTGCGTTGCTAGCCATAACCCCACGGATTCGGTGGTGGAGGTAGGGGGGGTGCCCATCCGTAGTCCGGTGGGTATCCGGGTAGCGGATGAGGTTGAGGTCCTGGTATAGTCGTGATAGGGGAAGGATTATGTGGTTGCCCCACCGATGCGGGTGGGGTATTCTGATAATCCATCCAGTATCTGCGGCTTCCGGACCAGCGTCCTCTCCCCCGGCCCCTACCCCTAGCGTGCGTGCAGTCAGATCACGCAGCAGGCGCCACGACGTATATGCCTTCAGCTTGCAGAAGACAAAGAGTGCGAAGCCCGCATGGTGGTATGGCGTCAAGCGTCCCGATGCGTACAACTCCGATCTTGATCACAATGCGGAGTAACTCGGAAGTACGGAAATCAAGATAGATGGTACATAAAGAAATGGTAAATAAATATGATAATAGGAATAGCATGCGCATTAGCAAGTATCACGCCGATTACAAGCACGATTGGATGCTCATAAGCGTAATTGCAAGGTCGTTCTTTTGGCTAATACGAGAGTTAAAACTCAAAATACAACGTAGTCTAAGGTTTAATATCGCAGTAGAACCACATTGTAGCTGCACACACTGTGCAACATACCTTCTCCTCACTGCTCAGTTTGTACGGAGCAAGGTTCCACTCCATCAAATTTATACTACTACTTCAGAACGTTTTCTCACGGACTCCACTGTTGAGCGGCTAAAAAACGACAAAAGAGTTTGTGTCACTGCATCCAAAACAAAAAAAAACAAACCAAACACCAACGAAAAAAATGCGTACGGCTTCGTGCGGAGATACCAAAAGGGCATCTGTCGCGCGAGGCCAGCCGAAAGTAACCAAGCCCGAAAAAGGGCCTACATACATTGTAAAAAGATTGAAGTAGGCCTAGGATGAAGCTATCGAACTGAGATATCATTCTGAAGCGCGGCGAAAGACCACTGCAGTGTGGTACTCAGCAAGTTGTCGTATACAAGATCCGAGTTAGTATTCCAGATCAATCAAATCGTCACATCTGGACCGTGATCAAAACTAGATCCGTCGAGATCGTTGTGCATGCTTCAGTTCATCCGGCTCGCCTCCGGACCATATGTGTACGTGTCACGTCTGTCGTGTTCTCCCTCTGTTTTGTTGCAGCCTGGGGGATTCAGGCCACCGGACCAGATGTGTACGCTCCTCACATGTCATGCCCTTCCTACTGCTCTTAGCAAGCCCCGAGAAGCTTGCTCAGTTTGGGCCCGAGGGTTCTCTCTTGCCATGCCCTTCCCACTGCGCGTAGCTGTTTGCAAGAAGCTTGCTCAGTTCGGGCCAGACCCGCCCTCCCACCCTGTTGGCCATACTTGTCACTGCTTTTGAAATGAGGGGTGCTGGAAAATCCGCTCCTCTCAATTCTTTGTATAGCATAGTTAGTATAAATGGAAGGATAGCATCGTTGTTGGTGTTATTTCGAATTCAATGCAGGGTACCCGTGATGATGGCGAATTTTTGTTCAATGGGGGCAAAGGAAGTTTCGGATAATCATATACCTTGGTTGCTTAGGGCTGACCCAAATGCTCTCCGCATTTTTAAACTTGTGCATCACAAAGATCTCGGTTGGTTCGTTTGGAATCAGGGTTTTTGTCAGGAGGAATTTCTAGTTTTAAATCTTTATGGTAGCAATTTTTTATTCCATTCATTAGTTTTTGTGCTCTGCTTTTTTCGGTTGGTTTGAAGAGTCCGAGCAAGAGCAGGTCGTCAACATACCTCGTCCCGTGAATAAATCTCTCATCCTTGCCGAGGCTTTTAAGAAATTTATTCTCAGAAAACATGCCAACCAGATTCGCCAAAGGTGGTGAAGCTTGTCCACCCATGGGTACTCCTTTGTTTTGCTTTAGTACGGTGCCAACAGATCTGAAAACGACGTTCTTCACGATAAATTTCACCAATTTATCAATGCCGTTCAGCCTGATTGATTTCCATCCTTTTTCTTGGGTCGATTTGCAGAATGTGGCACCCTTACCTCTCGTCTTGTATCTCATCCAGTGTTTCCCTTTGTTCTTAAGTTCTCCAATGATCCAATGTACCACATCTCGAACTTCTTCGTGCGGGATTTGTGAAAACATTTCTTTTATGTCAAATGTTTTTGCAATCACTTGCAATTCATCTCGTTCAATTCTTCTGTTCATGTTGTTCAAGTCCTCTTTCAATTCCTTTCCAGAGGAAAGGTTAAAATTATGTCCTTTGAAATTTCGGATAAAAAAATTCAGACATTGTACAAAGATGCATTCCGGAAATCTTATAGGGTTAGCAAACGAGGGAAACGAGGGACAAATTGGTCTCTTCTT